AGAGAAACTACGCTAAGCTAGCCTCTAGGTAGACATTACTAAGTGCGAATTCGACGTTAAGAGAGTCGAATACTTAGGACTTGTCGTTACTACGGAGGGAACTCGTATAGATCCGAAGAAAGTATAAACGATCCTCGAATAGCCTAAACTTAAGAATGTAAAAGATATATAAAGCCTTTTAGGATTTGCTAACTTCTACTAGCGCTTTATCTACGGCTTCTCTACTATTACCTCTCCGCTTACTACTCTTACGAAGAAAGGAGTAGAGTTTAAGATAGATAGTAAGGCCCGGCAAGCCGTAGAAACGTTAAAGAAGGCGTTTATATCTAACATAATCCTACGACATTTCGACCTAGACCGTAAAACAATTGTAGAGATAGACGCGTCTAACTTTGTTTCTAGAGGAATCCTCTCTTAATACGATAACGAAGGAATACTCCGTCCTATTGCCTTCTTCTCGAAGAAGCATAGCCCGGCCGAGTATAACTATAAGATCTACGATAAAGAACTTATAGCTATCGTACGAGCTTTCGAAACCTAGAGACTAGAACTAGAAGGCGCCGCCTTCCCTACGCAAGTAATTACGGATTATAAGAACCTAGAATACTTTATAACGACAAAACAGCTCTCGCAAAGACAAGCCTAGTAGAGTAAATTTCTGTCCCGTTTCGATTTTAAGATTACCTACCGCCCTAGAAAGTAAGGCGTAAAACCTAACGCCCTTACTAGGAGGTTAGGAGACCTACTATAGGAAGGGGGGGATAAGCGTTTATAACACCGACACTAGACAGTCCTTAAGCTAGAAAATTTCGGACCTAAGGTAGCTACTAAGCTAGGAATACCGCCGACAACGCTAGTTATTCATTTGTAGAATGTAATAATAAGACCCGAACTTATATGCCTAACACCCCGAGTCCTACGAAACATGTAACTAGACCCTAAGATCCCTCTAGACTAGGCCGAGAGTCGTACCGAAGATATAGATACTATAACACTCTAGAAAGAAGCTAAGGAAAAAGACAACTTTAAACCTTAGGTCCTACGAATGCTATAATAGGGACACCGCTATTTAAAACTCATTTAGCTAGCNNACTNCNGCGAGGAACACGGAAATCTTACCTTCNNGGGCTNTCGCTACGTCCCGTTTTACTAGTACCTTCGNACGAGAATTATAAAAGAAGCCTACGACAGCCCGGCTATAGGCTACCCTAGAAGAGCTAAGACTAACGAGCTAGTCTCCCGCACCTTCTAGTAGAAGACCCTAAGCTAAGACGTAGCT